TGCCACAAAGGCGTATCCAAAACCCCTGTGCTGCTGCCTAGAGCAGCCTGAAGGAGATGAATCTCCATAGCTTGTCTCCGTAAGCTGAGCTCTGAGAGAATGGTGGGAGCAGTGGTACCTGCAGGAAACCAGTGTCCAGCAGGAGGGCTGGGAGCAGCAGGATGGGAAGCACTAGCACACCCCCAAGCAATCCAATGGAACAGGAAGAAAACCCAGGGCTGTGAAAGTAACCGGTTCCTCTAAGGGCTTTCCAGTACAGCTGGGGAAAAGTTACTCTTTGGTGCAGTCAGCAGCTTGCAAGACACCCAAGGGGGGAATTTGTGAGCTTGCCAGCAAGGAGGGCAGTGGCTCTGGTGGGAGGATGCATGTTGCCAGCCAGTACTGCTTGGGTGCAGAGTTCCTAAAGCCATGGCCAGTCACACCCCCAGCCTCCAGAGCAATGAAAAGAGCAAAGCAGCCCCCACAGGGGCTTCAAGTTTCCCTTTTGCCCAGGTGGGCTTCTTGCTTCCCCTCTCTAATCCTGCAAATTTATTATTCCAGCCTGGAAAGCAAAGGAAACCCTTTTCTCCCTGCAGAGAACGAGGAGCTGCAGACGTCGGCTCGTTTAGCGCAGCTTGTTGAGCAGCTAACGGAGGGGTTAAGTGGCTGAGCCTCCAGCAGCACAGAGCCTGCTCCCCTGTGCTCTGCCCTGCTCCTGGGCAGAGAGCGAGGCCCTGGGACCTGGGACCCTGGCCAGCAGAGAGACAGCAGATCTGGGAGCCCACCTGGTCTCTCCTGGGCATGGATGAAGGGGTCAGTTTTCCCTTGTAATCTCTGCAGCAACCGTGGGCATCCACTTGGGCATCTGGTGCCTACTCGTGTGCCAGATGTGGTTTTGATCTTCCAAGAAAACATTTAAGAGGAGCTCCCTTAACTTTCCTTGGGCTTCCAGGCTACAGGTATTTTGTTTTTCCATCCCTGAGACCAGCACTGCTTAAATACATCTACAGGCTATAAAATTGTTGCTATAAAAAAACCAGTTGTTCCAAAGACAGACTTCTAATTGCCTCCATTGTTTGTTTTCCCTGGGCCTGGGTCATCCTCAGCAGCAAGAAATAAGCCCAAACTTCAACATTAGACAATAATTATTTTGCCGTTTCTCTGGTTTCTGTCCCCAGTTGCCTCTGGAAACAAGGGAGTTCCCTGGAACAGTAAACTCACTGTACAAGCAGAATTTTCAGGTGTCCTTCAGCAAACACCACAGCACAGCAGGCTGGTGTCAGCAGCTCTGCCCCTTGTGATGGAATCGAACAAAAGAAGAAAAAAAGGAAAAAAAAGCAAGTGCATCTTTACAGCTCCCTTTTCTTTGTGTGAATCTAAACAGCTCCTTTTTCTTTGTGTAATTCTAAACAGCTCCTCGTCTTGCCTGAGCAGCAGCCTTGGAGGCCAAGGTGGTGGAGGCCAAGGTGGTGGCCTTGGGAGGTGCATCCTCATCAAGAGCAGCGGCGCTGGCCCTGGTTGGGCTGAGCCAGGGAGATGGGCACGGGGCTACCAGACCCTGCCAGGGCAGCCCGGTGGGGTGGTGAGGGAGGGCAGGCTGGGAGCAGGAGGGAGGATGAGCTGGGAGGGCAGTGCGTGGTAACGGTGGTCGCTGGGTGGGTGGTGGGACCAAAACGGTCCCCCTGAAGCAGCCAGTGATGCCACAGCACAAATGCTGTCACCTACCATCAGGGAACCCCATTAGGAGGCCTTGCACCAGCCCAGGGGTGATGGTCACTCTTGGTGATGACATTCAAAGGTAGAAGCACCATCAGCTTTAGCTCCCCTTTGGTCAGCAGCTTCATGGCTGTGGTCCTGCTAACTCTGTTGGCCTTGCCACTGAACCTTCTGAGGTCCCTTGTTTGCACAGCGTTTGATTCATCGAGCTGGCTGTTCATGCAGCAGGTCAGCTCTTTCCAAATTTAAGTGCTGGACTCTTTCTTATTGCTGCTGCAGATGAAGTCCTTGTTATTGCTTACAGAAACCTACTGGGAATATCACGAGCAGAGACAAAAGCCACCCTAGGCTGGCCATCTGCTTGCTGAGCATGCTGTCCCTCCCTGTCCAGCACTCTGCATGGGTAGGGCTGCTTTTAAAAGCACATATTGTCGTGGGCATGACAGTTTTGAAGAGCTTCTCAATGCCTCCCTCAGTCAAACAGCATCTCAGTGGGCTTCAGGTACCACCCGTGTACCTGCCAGCTCCACATCGAAGGGCTGCTCTTCCAGTGTGACCTGTCACCTTCCAGCCCAGGCTTTACCAGCATCTTCAGGAGCAGAATCCAGCCCTCAGCCAGTGGCTAAAACAGGGGACATGTTTCCCCTGCAAAGGTCAAGCATTGCCATGAGGTATCTCCAGAGCCTTCTCAGGCACCCAGAAGCACACTCGACTGTCAAACAGCAGCTGCTCAGTTGGTAATTAAACTTCTCCTTCTTGCTGCTGCCTGGATTTCCACAGTGTGGCTTCATGAGCCAGGGGAGGAGAGAGGAGGCCAAGCTCTGAAATCACGATTGGCTGTTCACTATTTGGCAGCTGGCCACTGTCATTTGGGGACTAAGTCCCTGTGAAGGTCCTGGGGTGGCTCCGTTGCTGCTGAGTCCCTGTAGTGGTGGGCAGATAGCTCAGGCAGCTGCTGGCTGTGGGGTGCAGCTCTCATCCAGGCATGCCCAGCCCTCTTACTGTGGGCACCAGATGTTATTTTGAGGATGCTCATACAGAAGAGCCACCCCAGGAGAATGCCACTACCCAGGGGAGGTCCTCAGCATCCCTGTCAACAGTGAAAGAGGGAACCACTTGAGACCGTGAGTATTCCAAGGGGTTGTGCAGAGGAGTGGGAAAAGCAGCCAAGAGATGGGTGTGGGTGGATGAGCCCGAGGACCCGCAGCCCCTCAGACACAACATATTGCACTGTTCCCATTTCCCAAGGTACGTGGCATCCAGGATGCTGCAGGAGCCACTGGGATTTCTGTCTTTGGGGACAGGAATGCTCAGGGTGACAGCATCTGCTGCAAGACTGATGCTCTGCTGTTTGCACTCCCTGAGCGCTCGGCTCTGTTGGCTGAAAAAATTATCTCAGGAAAAATGTATAGTGTAGACATGTTTTTTAAGCAGTGAGGCTTTTGTCTCAGCTCCTTTCTAGCTCTTAGCTGGGCTCTTGAGGCTTTTTCCTTCTCTTTTCCAGAACGGGGGAGCAAAATACATACACACAGAGCCCCGAAGGCCCTTATTGGGTCATTTTTGCCTGCTTCAGTGTCTTTTTCTTTGCTGGCTCTTTCATTAACGCAGCCAAAGAAACTAAACCAATGCCAGGAATAAACTTCTAATGGAAAAGCTGAGATGAAGGAGGGAATGAGGTTCCTGCCAGCACACAGGCTGGGGAGAGGTGAAGTGTGTGACATTTGAGCCCTGCGAGCTCATGAGTACTTTGTCTTCAGAGCAGTGATAAGACAGGAGCGTCACGAGGTGGTGGAGTTGGGCCATGCTGGTGCTGTGGGGGCTGCATGTGGATGTGAGACCCAACACTATGGGTGCAAGAGACTTCTCTGGCTGAGGGAAGGCACGTACTGGCTTGGGGACAGATCCTGAGAGCCCTGGACCATGGCTCCCTCGTGGGCAGCAGTTGCTCCGAGCATCCTCTTGCCTCTGAGAGGTCCTCAGGGCAGGTGGCTCAAGTCAGGGACAGGGCTGGGGCTGTGGAGCTCTGGCTCCCCTGGCACAGAGTGGTGCCTGAGCAGGGTTCTGGTGGCAGGCTGCCGTGGGCATCACTCTCCTCCCCTTGTGTCCTTCAGTTGCCGGAGCGGTGCCGTTCCTGCTGCTTCTTCAACAGTTTTGTCACATAAGCATTTCAGCCTAATTGACTTATTCCCCATTAAGCAATAGGTGTTTTGCAAACTCCTGTGTCTCCATTCCTGCGTCCTCAGCGCACGCTCGCAGTGACTGAAGCCAGGCAGTAATCCCAGGGCCAAATCCTGCTCTCAGCTACGTGGGAGCGGGTGGGGAGCCCTGGTTACCCCCTGGCAGGTAGGGGTGCTGGTGCCTCTGACCCTCCCGGCTCGTTATGGTCCCTGGGAAGGAGCCTGCAGGATGGGTGATGCCACAGTGGTGGAGTACTTCCCTTGCAGCTCCTGGACCAGAGCTAGATCAGGACCCATGGGGCAAGGTGATTTTCCCACAAGCCATGATATGGTCACACTCTCCCAAGAGCTGTATGACTTGATGGAAAGAATGAAACTTGGAGCCGCAAAAATAGTCCCTGATATTTAGGAAGTTTTCAACACTGGGGCTGCCAAGCTGTGACAATATGAACAAGTGAGATTTTAAACACATCGAAGTGTGATTTCAAACGTCTCATCAAGATGTATTGCAGGAGCTTTCATCCTAGCAGACAAATGCTTCAGAAATGTCTTCCAAATTAATCCCTACAGAGGGAACCTTGCTTGCCAAGAGAGCGTGCGTGCACGGGGCTACACAATGGCCACCACTCCTTAATCTCAGCCTCCTCCACAACCAAGGGTGAAAGCCTCAGAAGTGACCAGTGACCATGTCACAGGGAGTGGCCTGCAAGTGTCAGATGTCCTGGCTCCTCCTGGTGTGTTGTGACACGTGATGCAGGAAGGTGAGGTGGGAAATGAGCCTGCAAGAGCTGCGTTTCTGGATGGGGGGAGACTGGAGTTGGGGAGAGTGCATGGTGTTGGCTTTCAGTGCATGATCCCCAGGTTCAAAAATGCATCTCAGATCCCATCACGTCTCTCCTGGCTTTGGCTTTTGGGTCTAACTTGCAAGGTGGTTTATGGGTGGGGCTAACCAGCAGAGAAGACTTTCCTCTCTGCATTTTTCTCTCCTGTGATAACAGCATTTTGTGGATATCAGTGGGCTTTGACCTGAAGTCCACAGAAGCCTCCTGAGTGTCTAGTGAGAAGTCCACAAGGGGGCTTGCTGATAAATGTGGCCTTTTTCCATCTTTTTTGGCAAGACCCTGATATGCAGATGGAAAGCCAGGATACGGTCCCCAAGGAATCCTCATTTCCAGCCTCTGGGCCCAGCTCCTGCTCAGTTTGGGCTCCCAGGACTCCTTTGCTTCTCCACCCCATGGGACAAGCTGGACAGGCTGGCACTTGGAAGCCAATTATTTCCCTTCCATAGACAACATGTGGCAGTTTTCCTCCAGAGCTTTGGAGTTGTGTTCACTGCTCTGACAGTCTCAACACAAACCCTGAATTTTGGGGAAGAAGAGGAAGGGTTGGAACCTGTCTCCTAAACCACGTTCCACAGCACTGGCCCAAGTGAGTCCTGCCCCATCTGCACTCGGGGACCACATGGCTTAGCTTCATGTCTGCACTGCTCTTAGTCAGCAAAATGAATTCAGTGACTCAGCAGGGCAGTTGGTGCATCCAAGCCCATCTCTAAGGAGGCCACGTGCAGGTGCCAGCTAGTCCCTGACATTGTCAGGTCTGGTTTATGCCCAGGAGTGCACGTTGGATTATGTATCACCGTGAGTGTCAGCAGGAGCAAAATCTGGATCCAGTTTGGGAGGAGGGTGATCTGTGTGTTGGTGTTTCCTTTTCAGTGGCTAGGCAGCATCTCACCTTCCCCAAACTGTTAGTGACATCTGGGTCCATCTGGCCATGAGCATCCTGCAGAGGGTCTGTGAGCACCCTGCTGAGCATCCCTTCCCACCCAGGGGAGAGCCCCGGGGTTGGGATTTTGAGAAGGTGGTCCCTGGCATCACCCACATGTGCTCTTCAGAAAATAACAATACTGGTCTTAGAGGATGAGCAATCCTTAAAAAGCAAAGTACACATAGGTGGTGATTTTGGTTTTTTAGCAGATGCAGACTGCCTTATGGGTGCAGCCTGCAGCCATTGCAGGAGACCACTGGCTGTCTGTGCTTCTCAGGGCAGTGAGACCTTGTCAGATCAATTCCCCTGGTCCTTTGGGTGGTGTCCTACCCAGCAAGAGCTGTACTGGCTCTCAGCACGTAAAGAGCAGAATTTTCAAGAGGATGGGTCTGCTCTAAGCCCATAGTGCCTGCTCCTGTCCTGGCTTGTGGGACTGTCATTTTTCACCTTACAGGCCAAACCACTTCACCCCCAGTGTCCCAGCTGTGAAACAAGGACCTAACACAACAGCAGGTGGTGAAAACTTAATGAGTAGGTGTTAATCATTTGAACCCCGCAGATAAAAATTGTGGCACCGAACTGTTTCTGAGGAATTTGGATGGATAAATTCTGCTTAACAATCACCCAAGGGATTGTTATTTCTCTTTCATGTGGAGGAAGGAGAAGAGGGGGACTTGAGTTGCCCAAGGTCAGGAAGAGGCAGAGGCTTTGTTCCACCAGGAATGGGCTCCTCAAACATGGCTAAATGGGTGGTAGGGTACAGCTGAAATTTGGTTCCTGCTTCTCATGTGTATTGTCTGCCACGGATGCTGGGGGGGAGCAAGACTTGGGGGTGGGCATCATAAAATACCCGTGGAAAACGCATTTTTTAATTTGTAAGGCTGAGAATGTGGATGTGCAAAGCCTGCTCTTAGAGATCCCCTCGCCCAAAGAGCCTGAGTGACCTACTTGTTCAGTCAAAGCAGCTTTGATTTCACGTATCAAAATCGCTCGAAGCGAGACCGAACCGTACCTAGCAACAATTAAGAGAATCATTTAAGAAGTGGGAGACGATGAAAAGGGAAGTAAAACCCCTAAACAGCCCATTCATAGTGGGTGAAGAGAAAAGTCCTCGTGTATCTGATTTGTCAGAAATTATTCATCCAAGAAAATTTGGACCTGAACCATAAGACGGTTTTTCTTTTTTATCCTCTGATATATGAATCAGTGTCACTTTACATCTGAGCACAGAGTGTTTTGACCTATATAATATCTGAGATAGTGGGAATTCAGCTTGAAAACCTCAAAGCAAAAATGAGGAGGGATGGCCTGAGCCAGTCATGTGGCATTAGCACATACAGATGTGACTTATCACTGGCAAGCATCCCAACAGAAGTCGAAAGGAGAGCGTTTGGTAAATAATAGGATTAAGAAGCAGGTTGGTACTTTGTGGAGCTGGCTATACAATCAAACTGATAACAACTAGATTAATAAGGCAATTCAATCTAAACACGGTGTAGAGCTAGAAAGCTTTTCAAAATCAATGCCTATCTCTGCAATTTTAATAGAGGTTGGTCTTCGCCTTTTGAAGCCAAGAGATTTGAAGCTCCAGGTCAGCAAAGCATAATAAAATGGACTGATGTGGGGTTTTTATTATTTTTTTTTTTAACATGTGCCTCTTAATTAGTGCCCTGTGTTTCTTAGTGTTTTCCTCTTCCCAGGTGGGGGAAGTGAAGCAGTGCAGTGATATTGGCTTGCCTGCGTTGGTAGAGAAGTACAGTAGACCTTGGAAAACAGCACACTTGGCTAAGCTATGGGTGTTTTGGGCAGCTGGTTTGCCTGGCTGGTACCTACTGGTGGGCTGAACTGAGCAGGATGGCTGGACAGGGTGGTACACTCCATGGTATCATGCTCACAGCTCACGTTGTCTTCGTGTGGACAAAGATTGGAGGGAAGATGTCTGGGATTTTCCGTGTGGGATACAAGGGTCAAAAGGCTGATGGGTTTTGAAGCCATGGGAGCATTTCAGGATTCACTAAACCAGCTGGGACCTTCAGCCAAGTATCATGTCCCAGCCTCAGGTAATCTTCATGGCTGGGAGAGAGAAACCAAGCCTGGCACAGGGAGCAGTATCTTTGCCAGCATCTCAGGTGTCCAGTGAGAGCATCCTGGCTGCTGCTGGCCATGGAGCAAGCTGTGGGATGATGGCTGGTGCAGCCCCGTGGTCCTTCACTGATGGGCCACCTTCATGTTCATGTATGACAGCAGAACACACGGTCCTCTCTTTGTGTTCCAAAATTTTGAGAACTTTTGCTTTTCACAGTGTGGTAGGGGGAAAAAGTCACCCCTGAAGGGGCTGCTCAGCAGGGCAGCTGATCTTCTTCCCCACCACCTCTGCATGCAGTGAGCTGGGAGACATGCTCCCAACTTGTTTGTCTCTTGTCCAGCATCTCCAGCTCTGATGCCTGCCTTCATTTCAGGAGGAGATACACACAGACGTGTTGCCAGAGGCATGTGAGGCTGGGTTGGATAAACGCATTTGAATAATACCTTGTGATGCTTTGGATCAGTCCTGCCATAGCCAAAAAACGTGGATGAAGTGGGAGCTAAAAGGTCTTCTCCACTTCCTAATTTCTTTCCCAGAGATTGTGAACCAGCACTTATTCAGGGAGCAGCATTTCTTTTTCTAAGCCTTTAATCCAGTCCCTATCTGTCTTCTAGCGAGTGTGAAGGAGTGTGAATCCCATTTGGAAGGCTCCTTCAGAGGAGATGGCTCTGAAAGGCTGCGTGGTTTGCACACTAATCCAGTCTGCTCCCACACCCCGCAGTGAACCCCATTAAAGTGGAGGCTGCTTAAATGCCAGTAGGCTCCAGGAATAAGCCAGTCCTGCTGTTCCCTTGGTGCCCCAAAAAAAGAAACAGCTCGCTGGCTCTCAGGTTCATCAAAGGAGAGAGGAGAGTGGCCATAGATGGTCTCTGGCAGAAGGGAGGAAAGGGGTAATCATTGTGGCATTGCCAAAGGTTTGATGTTCTGTGGTCAGCCTAACCAAGGGACCTCATCACATCCAGCAAGTCTCAAAATCCTTTTTGATGGCACCAAACGATCGTGCACTCCATTTCTTTTTCATTTCTGTCTAGTGCATTTGGGATTTTTTCAGGACTGGTAGAAATATATGCTCCTGAGATACGTTTTCATTAAGACACATATTTCCAGGTAACAATATCTCTGCTGGGAGAGAATTTGGTTCTTTTGATGAGCGTGTTCATTTGGATATCTGTGCGAGCTGTGAGGATGAGATCTCTGCAAGTCACACAGGAGGCTAGTGGCTTGGTCTGGGTAAAATGGAGATGGTGGTGGTCTCAGCTGAAAGCCCAAGGCAGTGGTGGGAATCAAGATCTTTCAGCTCAGTCTCCACCTGAAGAGAACAGGGAAAGTGCCTTGGCAGCCAGGAGATGGAGACCTCCTCTATGCACTGCTAGCACCTGACTTGTGAAAAAAAAGTAGAGATGTATTTAATGCAACCTGCAGGCTGCAGGCTGCTCTGACAATGGAGAGCAGATGTCTTGATGGCTGGTTAGATTGCTCAGGTGTTATGAACCGGGTCGGTGAGGAGCTTTTTCACCAGAATGATTGTATGGTCACGGGAGGGCAGCGGTGAGGATGGATGTGGAAAGCCCTCCACAGGCACCAGGACATCTCCCTCCTGGATGGGGAGGGATGCTTTTGGAGCCCTTCAGAGCAGGATCCCTTGACTGTTGAGCAATGCTTGGCAAAGAGGAGCGGGGTTTATAAATAATGCATTTCCTTTGTCTTGCAGGAGTTCTGGAGGCAGAGGTACAATCAGATCAGCTGTGAACAGCTTACATAGCAAATCTAATAGGTTTGTAAATTAGATTTTGTGTTCATTTGTTTTTGCTGTAAGGCAGCTATTAATCTGCTTCTCCTCTTCGCTGGATAGTGCTGTTCTTATTTAGCAAATGTATCTGTTTCTTTTCACTTCTGCTTTGCATTTTCTTAATCGTTTCTCCCCCTCCTTCCCCCAGCTCAGTGCAATAATCATTTGCAAATAACCAAGGATCTGCAAGTTGCGGTGATTGAGAGAAGGAGAAGGAGAGAGTTAGTTATTGTGAAAATAAGTCAGTGATAGAGTTGCCATTTTCATAGCTTTATTGTGTGCCTTTAGAAGAGAGCTGGATGCCTTTGACATCAGAGCTTCATTCGGTGTTGTCGTAGCGCCCTTCCATCACATTGCTCCACCACGGGCTCATTTCATGGCACCACAGCTCCTTTGAGTGTCTCTGGGTTATTTTCACCATCCTTTCTTGTCAGCCACCATTACCAAGGGGCACGGTTGCAAAGCTTAGTGACACCATGTGAGAAAGAAACCGATACCACACTGGGATGACATCCCCACTCATGATGAAAACACAGAAAATGGACCAAACCAAAAAAACACAAGTCATACTTATTCCCAAGATTACTTTACCCTGTTTCCATGATGATTTTTGACACCCCAAATAAGCTTTGCAAGACAAGAGGTGATAGGGCAAAACGCAAGATGCAAATAAATCCAGCAGCCTCGACTGGCAGCTTCTGGAGAGGTGCAGGACAAACACACACAGGGATGCTGGCAGCCAGCATTTATAAACACATTTCCTTGCCTTTCTGAAACATCACATAGTGTGAGGCACAGTGTTTTCTCAGGAGCTCCTTCCCTGGGCTGGAGATGTGCTCTGGGGAGCTGGGTGTTGCCCATGATCCTGAGCCACCAGCTCTGCCCCATCACTCACTCTTCTCTCTCCTTACGTGGTTTTTATTTATTTACAAACCATTTCCCAGCTGGAAAAAGCCCTTTGCACCAGAGAGGGAGATTCCCTTTAGCTGATAGTGCTTTGGCTGCATGTTTTTCAGAGAGCTCTGAAGTGTGAAGGTTTTTTTCGGGGCTGCAGATACACATGCAGCTTCTTGATGAGATGCTTGGGTATTCTCTTTGGAGGGTGGCTGGCTGAGATCAAATGTTCAGAGGCTCCCTTAAATCATGCCATTTGGTCTAAGTGGCACTGAAGTGCTGGGGCTGATTTGCTTCTTAGAGCAGGGATTAAGGGTCTGATCATCTCCAAACCACAGCATCTGGCTGTGCCCATCCCTAGGCTCATTTCCAGCTCTGGAGCGGGCGATACGGATGCTGAAATCCTCAGGCTCCCTCTTAACAAGGGAAAAAGTTACCAGCAAGCCAGCTCCCCCTCTTCAGTACAGGGTGCTCATAGCCCAATCTCACAGGCAGCACCCAGTAGCTCAGCTAAATTACTCTCCCCTTTGGGTGAAGTGAAGGTTGCACTTCTCTGAAGAGGCGTTGAACCCTCTCCAGGAGCTGCCTCCACTTTGGGACGCTCACATGTGACCATGAGGGAGCAGGGCAGCAACCTTGCCTGCCCATGTAGGAAATGCCTCAGTGAATTTTGGGGGCTCCCCAGGGCTCTGGGATGTCTTGTCTGCTCGTGTCTGCCAGCCTGTCTTTGCAGAGCCTGCTTATGCTTTTGTGTGCATGCCTTTTTACAGCTGGATGTGTAAAATTGTGTTTTCTGTAGAGCTGTGCCTGGTTCTAAGTCTGTTTTCCTGTAAGTGAACAGGTATTTAAGGATTTGTGTCTGTCTGCTTGAGTGTAGCAGAATACAAACAGGCTTTCAGGTCTCGTTTAAGCTCATAACTACAATTTTGCTTCTCTGAGGAAGTTTGAATTCCAGCAGCCAGAGCTGAAGACGGTGATTAGAAACACCATTGGGATGCTAACGGATCCATCTCTCTCCCTCTCCCTGTCTTTCTTTTCTCTAGAGCTGAAGTAATAATAAATGACTCTTCGTCTCCAGCTGTTGTTGACAGAAGTAATGAAAGCATTAAGCACAACATTAAACCAGCCTCATCCAAATGGAGACACAACCAGACACTCTCTTTGAAGATCAGGTACTGGTAATTACCTATAGGACAAGAGACAGATTCGGTCCTCTCCAGTGCAAGCTGGCAAATTGCCTCTGTATATCATCTAAAGAAGTCGAGGAAGAAATAAAAGGCTTATCTCCTGCTGAGCTAGGCTTCATATCTGTAAGCGATCGCTTGGAAATGAATTCCCAGCTGAACCAGCTGGCCTTGCAACATGAAACAAGGAGCACTTGAGCCCCCGTTTTCCAGGCCAACCGAAATTAGTGTGCCCTGGTGGTGGGTCAGGGAGGGGAGGAGGAGATCCTCTTCCCAGTGTAAATGCAGGAACCCCCCACTAATGGTGGGCTGACCATGCTGCCCACCCCAGGAAGGGATGGATGGAGAAGGAGCAGGCGTTAAGCTGGAGATACCTGCGTGTAAATGGTTCCTGGAGAGCATCAGTGAGCGGGGACTGGCCCCAGGGAGAGGGCAGCCGGCTGCATACGACCCAGGTTCCCTCAGTGCCTCACCCCACGGGGCCGTTTTCTTCTCTGTCCTCAGGAAACAGATCTTGAAGTTCCTGGATGCGGAGAAGGACATTTCGGTGCTGAAGGGGACGCTGAAGCCGGGGGACATCATCCACTACGTCTTTGACCGGGACAGCACCATGAACGTCTCGCAGAACCTGTACGAGCTGCTGCCCCGCACCTCGCCCCTCAAGGGCAGGCAGTTCCCCACCTGTGCCATCGTGGGCAACTCGGGGGTGCTGCTGGGCAGCGGCTGCGGCCCCGAGATTGACGCCCACAGCTTCGTGATCAGGTAGGGAGGGGACCGCCCCCAGGGGGGTCCTGGAGGGGTTGGAGAGGTGGAAGGGGGCTGGAGAGGCGCCGGCGTGGCGCAGCCGTGCGGCCCCGCGTGGGCTTCGCCGGTGCCGG